ACCCTGCCCGGACCAATGCCCCCCTCTGCGCCGCCAGCCGCCCGGGGCTGCCCGGGCCCGTCCCCGCTTCCCACCCCGCTCCAGCCTCCTTTGCAATAAGCTGCCTTGACGGTCCCTGGGCTCCGGGTGACTTTGGGCCCCTCCCTGGGCTGGAGTCTGGGGCCGGGGCATCATTTGGCTTCTGTTTTGTCCGAGGACGGAGGTGAGGATGGTGCTAGAGTGGCCCCTGCAGCCACTCAGGACACACCGGGCTCCTCCTGGGGCGTGGCCCCAACGCAATAAAGACCTTTCTGATTGGTAGACACGGCCTCTGCTGCCCCCTCCCCCTCCCAGGGCAGCCTGGGCCTTGGAACCCCAAATCCCTTCCTTCATCTGAAGCCCCCCCATCGTCACCCATGAGTGGAAGGTCCGGGTGGGGTGTCCTGGGAAGAGGGACCTCGGGATTTTTCAGCCCTTACCCCCGGTTGGGACGAAGTGTGTGTGATTTAAATATATTTCTTCACTGATGCCAGAGAGGAAGGGAGAGGGAGGGGGAGATAAGAAACATCAAACCGATGAGAGAAAATCATTGATCGGCTGCCTCCTGCGCGCCCCACACTGGTGATCAAGCCAGCAACCTTGGCCAGAATCGAACCTGGGACCCTTCAGTCCGCAGGCCGAGGCCCTATTCACTGAGCCAAACCGGCCAGGGCTGTTTTGTGTGTTTTTATAAAAATATTTTTTTATTGATTTCAGAGAGGAAGGGAGAGGGAGACAGGTATAGAAGCATCAATGATGGGAGAGAATCATGGATCTGCTGCCTCCTGCACGCCCCACACTGGGGATGGAGCCCGCGACCCGGCATGTGCCCTGACTGGGAAATGAACCCTGACCTCCTGGGTCATAGGTCGATGCTCAATGACTGAGCCACTCTGGCCTGGCCGGGCTCCGAGGGTTTATATGAAGGTGGGGGGAGGGGAGCGTGCTGGTGGATGTGAGGACAGAAGGGGTGGTGGTAGCTCAGGCCTCTGAGAAGCAGGTGGGACTGGAGGTGTGAGGAGACAGGTGGGGGTGACAGGTGCAGGTGTGACACCCCTGGGGGAGGGGCTGCGGTAGGAAGGCGCCCTGTGTTTCCCCAACCCTGACCCCATCCTCCAAAGCCCGGGTCATGACAGCAGGGAGCGGGAAGCCTGCTTGTGTGGGAAACGTCCTGGCGTGACCTGCT